ATCATTATCATCATTATCATTATCATTATCATTATCATTAATTTATTATTATTATCATTATCATTGTTATTTCATCATTATTATTACCTTTATCATTATCATTTTTATTATCATTATTATTACTATTATCATTACCACCATTATTATTATCATTATCACCATTCTTATCATTTTTGTTAATTATCCTTTATTATCATTATTATTGATATTACTGTTATAATTCTTTACATTATCATTTTAATTATTATCATTATTATTGATATGATTTTTATTATCATTGATGTATCATTTTCATTTTTTTATTATTATAATCACTATCATAATTATTATTATTAATATTATTGTTATTATTATTATTAATATTATTGTTATTATTATTATTATTATTATTATTATTATCATTATTATTATTATCATTATTATCATCAATTTGATCATTACCTCCGCCAAGTAGGTTATATTTTGGTAGCCTTGGATAATTTGTTAGTTGGATAGCAGGATAACAAATTTTTACGAGAGGTGTGTCTTAGCCATTAAACTTTGGATGTGATTTGGATCATAATCCGGACCCAGGATTTTTGTTAAAGGGTTCGTTAGCATTGCGAGATAGGGAAGCACGGACGTCACCAGTGTGCTTGAGCAAGACGTAATTTGAATGCAATTCGTGTGATTTTATTTATCTACTTATTTTTTTTTTTTTTTTTTTTTTTTTTTTTTTTTTTTATGCCTCAGTGACCCTATTGCCTTGGCGGAGCTATGCGCTCTCTGAGTGCTTCTAATTGTTATAATTATTAGTAGTTATCAATATCACTATTACTATTGTCATTGTTATTATTTTATCACACCTCTACCAAGGAAGTTATATTTTTGGCAGCGTTGGTTAGTTGTTTAGTTAGCAGGATAACAAAAAGTTATGAATAGATTTTTAGCCTAAGATGCCATTTTGGTGGTGATCCGGATTCAGGATTTTTTAGGATTTTTTAGATGAGTTACCCTTAATAACTTGGTTAACTATTATTAATTTTATTATAATTATTATCATTATTATGATCATTATTATCACCATTATCATAATCATTATTATCAGCATCACTATTATTACAACCATTATTCTATGATCATTATTATCATTATTAATATTATTATTTTCTTTATCATTTCTCCCCCAAGGAAGTTGCGTTCTTGGTATTATTATTATTATTATTATTATTATTATTATTATTATTATTATTATTATTATTATTATTATTTATATTATTATATATTATTATTATTATCATTATCATTAATTTCCTTATCACCATTATCTATTATTATTTTCATTATTATTCTTATCATTATGCTGATAATGATGCGTGATTACTATTATCATTATTATCATTATTATTATCATTATCATATAGTTATTATAATTATTGTTATTATCATCACCATTATCATTATTATTATATATTATTATTAACACCATTATTTATTATCATTGTTATTATGATTACTATTATTATTATTACCATCATTATTATTTTCAATATCAGATCTTTACCATCATTATCATTATTTCATAGTATTATTATAGCTACCGTTATTATCATTGTTATTATCATTTTTATTATTATCATTTTTATTATTATCATCAATATTATTGTTATTATCATTATTATAATTATTAGTCTTATTATCATTATTTTATCTTTACTACTATTATTGTTAACGGTATTAGTACCATTATCATAATTGTTATAATCCTTGTTAGTATTGGGATTATCATTATTGCTACTGTTATTATCATTGTTTTGTTGTTGGTATTAGTATTACCGTTATCAGTGTTATCAGTGCTGTTATCGCTATTATCATTATCATTATAATTTTAATCATCATTATCTTTATTGTTATCTACATTGTAATCTTTACCGTAATTTTTATTATAGATGTTGTTACTGTTACTGCTACTATTACAACTTTCACTATTACTCATTACTGTTATTTTCCTGTTACTGTTGTTGTTATTCTGATTATATCATCATCTGTAGTAGCAGTAGTAGTAGTAGTAGTAGCGATAGTAGTAGTAGTATCGTTATCATTATCATAATTATTACTATTACCATTATTCTCGTTATTATCATCATCATTAGCAGATCAAGCAGCAGCATTATGATTTCTCTTGTCATCGGCACTATTGCTATCCCTTGCATGATTCAGGTCGGCACAACCACATGGAAGACGCATCTGCTGAGAATGTGGGGTTATGAAGCCAACTTCAAGACGCCTCACAAGTTCAATAAATTCATCGGCATCGGATACAAGTAAGTATGCAATCGAAAGCGCTTTTATGGACATAGTGACTCCGTTTGCTTTTCGGTTCTATTTATGATGATTATTATTATGATTGTTAAGATATTTTTTCCTGGTGTTTATTCTTTCCTGCGATTTTTTTCTTCTATCCTTTGAAGTTTTTGTCTCTAATGATCGTTTATGACAGGGATTCGTTGATCATTCCTTC